AGATCTGCTTAGGGATTGGACACAGAGCATGAAGGAAACAGAAGTGTCAAAGATGACTCCTAAGGTTTGGCCTTGAGCACCTGCAAGGATGGAGTCTGTTTCCCGAGACAAGGAAGGCTGCAAGTTTGGGTGAAGACTAGGAGCTGAGTCTTGGCCTGTGCTGGTTGACAGGCCTGTCATATATCCAAGGAGAGGTGCCAGGTGGGCCATTGGGTATTCCAGTCTGGAACCCAAGAGAGAAGTCTAGAACTAGAAGTGAAAATTGGAGAGGTCACGAGCACACAGATGGCATTTAAAGGCATGGGGCAAGGTGAGGTTGCCCCGTGGATGCCTGTTGATAGAGATGAGGTCCAAGGATGGAGTTGTGGGGCAGTCCAAGACCGTAGGCTGGGGAGATGGAGAAAGAACCAGCATGAGACAGGAGTGACCATGAGGTGGGAGGAAACCAGGAGAGGGTGGGATCCTGGGGCCAAGTGAGCGGGAGGCTTCAGGGAGGAGGGGAGAGCAGCCACAGTGGAGCCTGTCTGTGAGCCAGACACATGAACAGATGAGACTGAGGGACAGCGAGTGGATCGCTGGCACCTCTGCAGAGTAGTTCTGTGGGCAGGAGGTGCTCAAAGCCAGCTGGCCGCAAGAGCATGGGAGGAGAGGAGGTGGAGACAGCACAGAGGCAGCTTGCTTGGATTGTGCTCTGGTTGGGAACAGAGAAGTGGAAAGGTAGGGAGAAGGAGACCTGGAGCAGGAGTGGGAGGAAAGGTTTTGTGGTTTCTGTGCTGTTGTTCTAAGGTGGGAGATGAGGGAAATTGTTCTTACGCTGATGGGCATGCACCAGTGGAAAACCGGTTATCTAGAAAGAGGGAGAAACAATGGCAGGAGAGCCTGTGTGTGGATTGGATTGTTTAGGTATTCCTATGGGGTAGGTATTCCTATGGGGTGGGGCCTCAGTGCAGGTATTCCTGACGCCATCGTCTCCCCATAGTGAGTGGCATCGTAGCAATGCGGTGGCGGCGGAGTGCCCAAGGAAGCAAGCCTGGCAGCTGGGTGCAAGATGGGAGGGGAGGTGCTAGAGGTTGGAAGAGCCTCACGGAGGGGATCACTCCGCCCCCCAATATACCCGCTTGTTCTCTACGCGCTCTGATTACAAACAGGACTCTTGTGTTGACAGAGTTGCTCAGTGTGGAGGTGCCTTGCTACATGAACTGTGTTTCTCCAGAAAACCGAGCCTGCCGACTGCAGTTACTCTTCCTGCTGACTGCAGTTACTCTGAGAAGTAGCACAATGCAGGGCTTGCTCTGGATTTTTTCATTTTGCTGTGCTTTTTGCAGTGCTTGTTAGTGCCAGTCTCAAAAAAGGGAGGATTTGGAAACTAGGACAGTTGCAAGTTTTTTTTTTTTTTNGATGATAACCAGGAAGACCCTGAGTTGTAGAGTGGGGTGGGGAGTGAGAATTTTGCCTGGGAGATAGTCCCTGAGGGTGACATTCGAGCCAAGACCTGACAGAGGAAATAAGAGTAGCCATTTTTATTCATAGTACCAACCAGATCTGCTTAGGGATTGGACACAGAGCATGAAGGAAACAGAAGTGTCAAAGATGACTCCTGAGGTTTGGCCTTGAGCACCTGCAAGGATGGAGTCTGTTTCCCGAGACAAGGAAGGCTGCAAGTTTGGGTGAAGACTAGGAGCTGAGCCTTGGCCTGTGCTGGTTGACAGGCCTGTCATATATCCAAGGAGAGGTGCCAGGTGGGCCAT